TATGTCTATAGTGTGTGTGTGTGTGGGTGTGTGTGTGTGTGTTCTGCTTGGATTCTCTGAGAGCTGTAGTTTAATGCCTTTCATTATGTTTGGAAAATTCTAAAGTTATTTCTTCAAATATTTCTTCTACTCTGTTTTTTTCTCTCTTGCTTTCTCCTCTGTCTTGAATTCCAGGTACGTGTATCAGGTTATTCATTACTACACTACAGTTCTTGGATGCTGTATTTGTTTTTCTTTATGGTTCAATCTGGGTAAGTTTTACTAAGGAATCTTTCACTGGTTCTTCCTTTAGCTGTGTTGAGTATACTGATATAGGTATTTTTCATCTGTTACCATGATTTTTATTTCTAGCATTTTCATTTAACTGGGTTTTCATTTTTCTGCTGCAGTTTTGTATGTATTCATCCATCTTATCTGTATCTTACCCCAGGGCCTTTAACATAGTAATCCCAGTTGTTTTAAATTTTTTTTTTGAGTTTCAGTGTTCAGGTCATCTGAGCCTGGCTCTGTTGATTGCTTTGTCTCTTGACAGTGAATTATTTTTTCATGCGTTTTTGTGTAATTTTTAAATTGAATGGACGTTGTATGCGGGAACAGTAAAGAAGAGACATACTGTTAATGTTTGGTACAGTGTATTTCTCAGGTTGTCAGTGTGGGAGTTGAGTCAGGCTAGTCAGGAATTGAGCTGTGGTTTGATTTGTTGTTGCTCTGCTTACCTTTGTTTGTGACTGGCTTCAGATTTCTCATACATAAACTCTTGCCTAGAGTGGGAGTGGGATACTGCAGGGTTTTTAAAATGGTCTTCCTCTGTGTTCAGTTTTTGGTGTGCTCCGTGCTTGTGTTTCAGAGGCTGTCTGTCCCCGCACTGTTTTCCCTCCCCACAGTAGCTTACTGGTGCTTTCTAGTGTTAGGCAGGGGTTTTCTGCCTTCCGGCCTAGCCTTGAGTCTTGGGCAGGCCTTTTCTCCCTTGGTCTTGGAGGTGGGGCTTTCTCAGTGATTGCCTCCTTCCTCTTGCTGTAGGAGAACTCTTGACTTTCTGGGCCTTGAGTGTTTCTTGCCTGTCGCCCCCCAGGCTCATGAATGCTTTCTTTCCCTTTCCTTGGCTATAGTGAACCTTCTGCGCTCTGGGGTTGACAGAATTTGCTGCCCTTTTTTTTCCCCAGTGGCCTTCAGTTTTGTTCCACTAGGGAGGAGGGTGCAAGTGGACTTTGTGCCCCATTTGCCCTCTCAGCAAGTCACACTGCTCTTCAAGTCAGTCTCGACTTGTTCATATTTTTACTCAGCAGCGTCCAGTGGAGGTCTGCAGAGGGCCCAGGCGAATGGGTGAGACCTCCCAGGTTTGTGGCTTCTGAAGGCTTTGTGCAGATCCTCTAGCCTTAGCAGTTTTTGGAAAGGTTTGATTGAATTCAGTTTCTTGTCTTATGCAGTGCTTGTGGCCCCTTTTCCACTGTTATCTCTCACAGGTAGTCCAGTGCTTGTTGCCTGACCCTTCCAGGACATGCCCATCTTTCCTTGGAATTTAAGTTGTGTGGTTTATTCTGCAGCCTCACTTCTGACGGATTTGACAAGAGCTGTGATTTTGTGGATGAGATGGCTTTTTTTTACTGTTAGGGTAAAGCAGCTTTCCTTCGCCTGCCTTCTTAGCCTGGCCCCTCTGTTTCCTGGTGTTTCTCTCAAGGCTGAACTTGGTGTGTACACAGTGGGTGTCCTTCCTCACCGGGGCTTCACTGAGTGAAGAGGCTTGTCCTGTGCCACTTGTACATTATATGATATAGTTAATGTATATAAATAACCAAACTCCTTTACTTTTAATCATAACAAAATGAGGGCAACATAAACGTAAAACTAGTGTGAAATTTGACCTCATTTTTGTGAAACTAATACAATGTCTGGCTTGATGGAAGTGGTTGCAATTCTTAGTAAATTCTCAAGGTGCTCAGAAATTTTTGAACTAATTTTATTCTTAGTGTGCTTTGTTGTTGAAACTAGTTTACAAACATACATCCTGCCAAAAAGCAAGCGTGTATGAATGAGGCGTGACTGCGAAGTGAGAGATATTTTCCTCTGGGAAGATAGGTCCTACAAAAATCTAGTAAGAGGAGATGGTCAGATTTTACTTTCAAGTTGTTCTGATTGCAACTGTATACTTTTTGTTTGTTTGCTTGTTTGTTTAAGACAGAATTTCACTATGTAGTTGAGGCTGGACTTGAGCTTAGTAGGTACCCCAGGCTGGCTTCCAACTCCAGCCTCAGCCCCCTAGTGCTAGGATTATGAGCATGTGCCACCACACCCAGCTCACAACTCTGTACATTCTAAAAGTAAGTAAGCAACCTTTTTCTTTTTAGTATGTATTAGCAATGTTGCATATCTGGTTATAACAACACCATGGACAAAAAAGTATTTGATAAATTTTGTACTTCTTTTGGTTTTTTGAGACAGGGTCTTGCTATGTAGTTCAGGCTCGTCTTGAACTCACTACGTAGCCCAGGCTGGCTTTGAGTTTGTGGCACCTCAGCCTTGTGAGTGCTAGGATTACAGGTGTACACTGTCACACCCAGGTCATTTTTGTACTTCTTATACCACATCTGCTGAAAGCTGTTTTATTTTTTTTAAGCTGTTTTAAATTGTTAAATTATTTTATTGAATAACAACAAACCCAAGTTTAATAATTAAGCATACCTGCTTAGTAACTAGCACGAAGATGTATAGGCAGGTTAAAATACTATTATTACTGTTAATCACCATGTTTTACTGGCCAAGTTGCACAAGTGTCTTAACACACAGGTTTTAATTCACCTGATTGTGGGTGTTGGGAGCGAAGGCAGAGTTCACTGCGCCTTCCCCCTATACTTCCACTATTGCCTGTAGTCTGTGCTCGAGCACCGCAAAACGTAGTCATAAAAATATTCTAAAAATCACATAGTAATGTTAAAAGTTTGTGATCGTGAGCTGTTTTACTAAATGTTGAGGGCTGCATGCGGCCAGTGGGTCACAGGTTAGACATATACCTTGTTTAGATATATGTACAAAATACTGATACAATTTTGTGATTAAATTTTGTTAGGACCTATGCACAAAGAGCTAAATTTTACTGCTGACACAATATTGTAAAAATAGATCAGTGACTCTTTTGTTCCCAAGGAGAATAGATTTAGTTTTATAAATGTATTTTGTTGTTATTAATTAGAGTAAGTAAAAAGTACTTCTACTGCTAATGGCAATACCTCTAATTTATTGAGTGTTTACTGTGTGGCAGGTCTTACACTAAGTGCTTTAATGCAGTTTGTCTCTGGTGAATTATGTCCCTTCCAAAGGAGACAGGAGCTTGGTGGTAATGCTAAGGTGGTATTTTAGCACAACTACCTCTGACCTGCAATGTTCCTCACAGTTGCTGGTGACACTTTAGACTCGAGATGGATTCTCACTGGGCTTGAGAAACTTAATTCTTGCCGGGCTGCGTTTCTTCTATACACTTGGTCCTTGTGTACACTTGGACATCCAGGAAGAGTTTACGTACAGAGCAAGTGGCGCCCTAATAAACACATTCGCCCATACCAGGACGCTCCTGGCTCGCAGGTCAGACTCACTGTGAGGAGGAAGCACCTCTGGGTCACTTTTTGTCTGCAGCTTCCTAGTACCTCAAGAGGCCAATTTTCCCACAGCTGTGATTTTTCTTTGCTCTTCATAATAGTCTTATAGTACAGAGACTGTATCTGTGTCAGATAAAAGAAGAAATTGCTGATTAGAAATATTAAGTAATTTGCTCAATGCCTCCCAGCTTTAAGAGAGCAACAACAGGCTTTAAACCAGTTGCACTGTAGCACACTATGCCACACAGTAACAATTTGAACCTATAGTTGAAATTTGAGCCTGTACTTGAAAGCCTCATATTAAGGGACGGCATTTCTAACTTGGTGGTACATTTTGTGTTGAGCTTATTTTAGTTTTGAACAGAAAATTCTTCAGTGACGTATTCAGTGAAACAAAAATCTGTATTCAGAAATGGACAAAAAGCAATTTCACAAGACCTTGGATTATGTCTTATGTTAGTGGATCTTAAATATCCTGAACTAAGAACTAAAAGCTAGAATTAAACGATGAGCCCTTTTGCTTTCCTCAGCATCCACTTCTGTTTTCTTTCAGTTCTAAAGAGAGCTTTTCTTTTTTTTTTTTTTTTTTTTTTTGGTTTTTCTCCGGTACCGGGAACCGAACTCACGACGTTGCGCTTGCCAGGCAGGCGCTTTTGCCGCTGAGCTAAATCCCCAGCCCCTAAAGAGAGCTTTTCTTTAGACTGCATGGAAATGAACACCTGGACTACGTTTAGTAGTGGAGAACTAGCCATATTGTTGGGTTAGGAGTACAAAGTGCAGCTTTGTCCATGGGGCTTTTCTGAAACTGATTGGAAACTCGCAAATTCTTCCTATTTTATAGGATTTCAAAATTTGTCAGCAAGAATGTAGGTGAAAAGTGTGAGTGGATAGAAATGCTAGGAAGAGGTGCAATTTGTTGATTAAATCTTGGGTGTGATTTGTTAATCTTGTTGGCTGGTCAGGCTTTTCTGTTAGATCCTGAGGAGAATGAACTACTTTTAGTACACAGGTTTTCCTTTTGTCTGATGGTAGTTCAACAAGAGGTACAAATGAGAAAAATGTGTGTGCTTTGGTACAGATTCACCACCACTGTTACAAAGCTAACTAAAAAATCATGGTTTTTTTTTTTTTTGGTTTTTCTCCGGTACCGGGAACCGAACTCATGACCTTGCACTTGCCAGGCAGGCGCTTTGCCACTGAGCTAAATCCCCAGCCCAAAAAATCATGTTTTGAAAGTAGCATTTAACATAGAGCCTAGATAAAAGTGTCAGTGTTACATGGCATTTATTAACCTTGTACGACTTAATGGAAATACTTCTTTTTCAAAACCATTGAGATGGAAACCCAGTCTAGAGTTAAGTTCAGAGAATTTTCAAGTTGCTTGAATGTTTTGTGGCTTTCTTTTTTAAGCTCCCAATTGAAGACTCATGCAGCTTAACTTCCCAGTCACTGCCCATTGACCAGACTTCGATTGTGCCTGAATCTACAGAAGACGTTCTCTTGAAGGGTTTTACTTCCTTAGGAATGGAAGAAGAAAGAATTGAGACTGCACAGCAGGTGAGTGGCAATATCTTTTCTAAAGATACTAGATTACTGTGGCTGTCTCAGGACAGGCTAATAAAGGTTCTAAATAAAAAAGGTTCTGAAATTTGATAACATAGTGACTATCAAATCTTCCTAGAACATTCTCTTGATTTTTGTTAGTTGAAGTTATTATGTTATTTATTTATTTTTTTGTCTTTTTGAGGCAGAGTTTCACTGTGTGGTTCAGATTGGCCTTGAACTCACTTTGTAGCCCAGGCTGGCCTCAAACTCCCAACGATCCCCTGCCTCAGCCTTCTGAGTGCTGGGATTACAGGTGTGCACCACCATACTTGGCCAAACTATTGTTTTAAATGACTCTACTATTCAATTACATTGATGGTATAGATAAAAATATGGTAGTCTACATCTAGATGTTGATGGATTATTTATTAAGGTTTTTAATATTTTGTGCACTTTTGATTTCCCTGTGTGTGTCTGTATTAATCTGTTCCTTCAAGCAGACACATTGTACATACATTCAAACACAAACACAAACACACACACGCACACCCCTCTCTGCTTGTTGCTAGGTTAGCCCCATCCCTCTTCCCTTTTGGAGATAAGGTCTGGCTATGTAGTGGAGGCTGGCTTTCAACTCACTGTGTAGCCCAGACTGTCCTCAAATTTACCATGGTCCTCCTGCCCTAGCCTCCTGAGTGCTGAGATTACAGGCTTGCGCTACCGTGCCTGGCGCTTAGGTAATCCCTTTTAAGAAAAACCTAAATATTCTTTTTAGATGAAGCTTTATTGTTATTTTTGAGTAAGTTAGCATATGTAAACTTGGTTTTTGCTTATTGCTAATCACAGACCTAAATGTGCCATAGTTTCTTCAGCTACTTCCCTTGTCTTTACTTTAGCCTGTTAAGAATTAAAGCTGAGGTATTTTCCAAGTAAACACAAAGGTGTACTGAATTGCATGTGCAGTATTTTGCCTGAGGCAGTGGTGCAGAGTGATTGAGAACTCCAGTTCTTGTTTTAAACTGACCTGCTGCTTACCATCTTTGTGAGCTTTGGCAGATTAGATTACTTACTTGGGTCTGTGGTTTCTTAATCTGTGAAACAAGGATTATTATATACCTATCTTGTAGGATTTTTGTGAGAATTAAATAAGAGAACACATGTAAATGCAGGGTGTGGCAGGCACACAATAAATGCTCAATAAGTGATAGCTGGGGTATACATCAAGTCTGCACCTTTGACATTGAATTCCTCATGAGAATTCTAGAAAGTAATCAAACATTATATCTGTGAACTTCTTTTAGACTGAAAACAAAAACTTCTGGAGTAAAATTGCATGTGTATCTCTGTCTTTAAAAGTTAAAAAAAATTAGTACATAGAGTTATATCTCTTAAAAAATTTTTCAAAAATTAACATTGAATTATAAATTTATATATAACAGGATGTACTCATTTTAACTGTTAGCTGAGTGAGTTTTGGCAAGTGCATATACTGGAATAAATACCTCTAATACCAAGATATAAAATATTTGTATCACCTCAGAAAGTTTCTTTGTGCTCAGTTTAAGGTTAATTCCCTACATGAGTTTTTGTTTTGTTTCTTTCCTGGTACTTGGGATTGAACCCAGCGCCTTTGCACTGAGCTGTATCTCTGCCCTTTGCAAACTTAAAAAAAAATTTGAGACAAAGTCTTGCTGAGTTGCCTGGGTATGACTAAGACTTGGAATTCTCCTGCCTCAGCCTCTCAGAGTGCTGGGATTACGGGCAGATGGTACCATGCCTAGCTCCAACTGTTTTTTAATAATAGATATTTTTCATAACATTGGTCATAGAGCCAGGATTTAAACTTGATGGTTCAGATGATGCCAAAGCCCGTATTCTTAAATCACTGTATAATCTTACTTCAGATTTTTATTCTCAAATTTCTTAGTAGATAACAGTCATATTGACATTTACCTAAGGATCTGTACTAACTATTCAAATTTGGCAAACTAGTAAGTAGACATTAACTTCTCAGGAAGAAATGTTTATTTTTTTATAATTGTGACCTTGATACTCCTCTTACTGAACTTTGGAAATGGCCAATATATTTTTAACATCCTTTGGTTTTCTTAGCATGTAAACACTGAATATGTAGTAATTATCTTCACTACCTGACACTCACAAGATAGAGGAGGAAATGCTTATTTGGCTCCCAGTTTGTAGAGGTTTCAGTTCATAGTCTGCTCACTCCACAGCAGGGTGGCCTGGCAGAGGAGAAACAGCTCATGGTGTGGCAGTGGGCAGCAGAGTGAGATCAAAGAGGAGGGAGGGAGATGGACCCTTCCAGGTCACACCCGCAGTGACCACCTCCTCCGACCAGGCTTCCCCTCCCTACCTCACATTCAGCTATAGACTCATCAGTGCACTGATCCGCTGATGAGTCTCACACATTCATGATCCATTCACCTCCGGCTTCGGGAGGAAATCTAGATACAAACCATAACACCTGGTTTGAAGCTAATTATTTACGACTGAGCCTTAAGAATGAGACTTAGGTAGTGTCTACCCTTTTTTCTTGCAGTTTAGCATTATTCGTTTTTCATTTTATCTTCTTTAGTTGATAATATAATACTCTTTATTTTTCCAGTTTTTCTCGTGGTTTGCAAAACTGCAAACTCAGATGGATCAGGATGAAGAAATAAAATATAGGTACGTCTGGTTCCTGTATTTGTTGGATATTATAATTTTAGATCACAGTTACCTCAGGTATTTCATATTCTCTGTCTTTAAACAAATTAAGGTGCAGAGAAGACAGCAGCATACACATTTTGTTTAAAAATAGCTAGAGAGTGGAGTTGGGTCACTATAACTCTTATTAAAAGCCATGTGATTAAAAAGAGAAAGGACTGGGTTTAAGTAGTTTTACATGAACTCTAACAAGTGTTTGTTGCCTTGCTATATAAGGAGAAACATCTGCAAGAGACTTTAAGGATGGCCATCTAGATCAGGTTTAACTCTATATAGTTCTTGTTGTATGTGCTACTAGCATAGGGAACATAGCAGTGTATAAGTTCCAGCTGATTTCAGGATTGTGGGTTGATATTCATATTCAGCTAACATTTATTGATGGCTGTTACTGTTAGGCAGTGGGTGAGGCTCTTTGATGTAAGATCCCATTTAATCTTCATACCAGCTTTATGAGCAAACATAATTACTATTTGTATTTTATGAATGAGCAAACTGAGGCCTATAAATATTTAGTAACTTGCTCAGTGTCATGCAGACTTAGGTAGAATTGGAACTCAGACCTATGACTTCTAACTCCCAATCTGGAATTCTCAGCAGCATCACACCATCCCTCAAAGGTAGCAGTGATCTGAAAGGACCGACTGACTGTATTTGGTGCCTTGGTTTGGCTTGGGGTCTCACTCTTTGAAAGTTGAGCCATTATCTTATATCTGAAAAGCCAAGTTAAAGTTAAGTTTTTGTCGTTGTTGCTTATAGTGTCAGTGAGTTGTTTTTAAGTATTGGAACATTTTATGACGTAGCTTTTGATATATTTCTGAATTTAATCACTTTTGCTAGTAGGTCAGACTTTCCTCCTGAAATTCAAACTTGTGGGAAAAATGAGACTTTCTTGTTTATGGACTGTGCTTTTTGGGGGAAAATATTACTGCCAATCCCCTTTTGGTTCTGTTTTCTAGACAGATGAGGGATTACTTGTCTGGGTTTCAGGAGCAGTGTGATGCTATATTGAATGATGTAAACAGTGCTCTTCAGCACCTGGAGTCATTGCAGAAGCAGTATCTTTTTGTGTCTAATAAGACAGGAACCCTACATGAAGCCTGTGAACAGCTCCTAAAAGAACAGGTAATTTGGAGTAGGAGAGAGCATCAGTTATTATAGTTAATATTTTATTTTAAATAGATAAATGCAGTTTAATTTCAGTTCTTAATCTCTGTAAGTATGCAGTGAACGCTGCTCTGGATGAGTCCTTGTACTAAGTATGTGGGACAGCGTGCTTTCTAAATGAGCTCATATGGAGAGGGGCACATGCAAGCTTTCATGTGTTGGGCGCTGGTAGGTCTCAGTACAGTTTCAGTATTTAGTGGATATGTTAGCTTGCTGTATCTATTCATTATTATTAACATTTCACAAATAAGTAGAGTGATCGTGTTAGCAGTGGTGTTTTTTAAAAGATGAATTGATTGAAGTTGCACTTAAACTGGTGACTTAGAGATAAAATATTGAAAACTATGTCTTGGAATTTTCTCTATGTGTCTTATGTGTTTCTGAAGGCAGTCATTTATTATAAATTGTGAAATGTACTCTAACAGTTAATACCTCTTTTAAGTCACAACTGCAGAAATATTTGACCATTATTTGGAAATTTGTAAATCTACATGTCTAATATAAATCTGTTGACAGCAACCTTGAGCCTGGAGTATTGATTCTCATAAGTCTTATAGTAATTGATTTTTTTTCTTTTAAAAATGCAAGTCGGAACTTGTTGATCTGGCTGAAAATATTCAACAAAAGCTTTCTTATTTTAATGAATTGGAAACTATTACTACAGTAAGTGCTTTATACTTTTTTTGTACAGTGGTTTTTATATTCCTTCTTAGTTTAATCCTCAAACTTACAAATTGGCCAGAGTTACACTGTAACTTAAATAGAGATAGGATTACCAGCTGAGACTTTTAAAATATAGTTTAAGTAGGGTTTCTTAAGTTGTGTTGTTATTAAAATCTTTTAATTGGTTGTCTTGTATCCTACCTGCAAACTGTGAAGAAGATTGTAAGAAAAATACTCAATTGCTGATTGTGCTACTATAATAGTGAAAAGTTTTTGAGTGAAACATTAGTTTGAAGAAATATAGTCTTCACAATGCATACCTCTCCCCATAAATAGTCCCCATAAAAACTGTTGTGTAAGTTGTATTTCTGTTTCTGATTCATAATTAATCATAATTATATAAAAATCATGTCATTAAATTATTAAGATAATCATCACAGTGTAATAAAGGCATAGAAATAAAGCTAGCAGTGTTAGAAGCAAAACCATGGAATGCAGTGAGAATTAGGCAAGCTGTTTGTATATCAAGTTATGAAATAATTGGCTAGTAATATTTTACTTTTACAATGTAACTTACAGTTAATCCTTTTGCCGTAAGAAAATTGCCAGTGTTTGAAAGCAGAAAAATTATATAGGTTATAAAGTACTAGAAAGTGGGAAATCTAGGTACCTGATACATTATTTCAGTATAACATTGTGCAGTGGTATGGTAAAAATGTTTACTAATTTGTGCAGAGCCCCATTAAAGCTTAGTAGGAATAAACTTCAGTTAGGTCAGTATTTTTTTCTATTTATTTCTTCTTTATGGACTATATTTGAAGATACTTTGATGACTTTTAAAATATATTGTAAAGATACTATTAACTGTATTATATCTTAAAGGAAAATATTAATTCTAATTAGTAATTTTAAATTTTTATCTGTATTTTGCTTGGTCAATTAATTTATTTTTCTCCCCTTTGAAGAAATTGAATTCTCCTACGTTGTCTGTGAATAGTGAAGGGTTTATACCTATGCTGGCCAAGTTAGATGATTGTATAACCTATATTTCATCTCATGTAAGTAGCGGTATTTATATATTATTTCTTTATATATATTATAAAGAAATCTTAACATTCCTATCATGTCACTTCTTGTGTGCTACAGTAATTATTTCTTCTGAAAGGAAAAATACGGTCAACTCTGTATCCATAAGTTCTACATCTATGGATTCAATGAACTGTAAATCATAAAGACTCAGAAAAAAACACTGCATCTGTACTGACCCTCTACAGACTTTTTCTTATCATTGTTCCCTGAACAATAGTGTAACAACTACTTACATAGCATTCACATTGTATTGGGTTTTGTAAGTAACCTAGAGGTGAATTAAAGTATATGAGAGAATGAATATAGATTATATGAAAACACTATGCAGTCATTTTATATAAGGAACTTGAGCATCCATGGATTCTTATATTCTTGGGGGTCTTGTAACCAATCCTACATGGATCCTAAGGGATGGATGACTGTACATATTTATAACATGGTGAAGAAAAGCTAGTAAATTCTTTGTTATTATTGGTAGTAGTATAAAAGTACATTACTTTTAGCTCCTGAGGCTGCCCCTAGAGTAGAATTGCTCCTGGTTGACTTAGCTTTATTCTACCCAAAAAGACAAATCATATTTTAAGTTGTTGGTATCCTGGTATGCAAGATACTTCCTTGGAATTGGAAAATGTTACGTGGGAGTAACTAAAGTGACAAGCTCTTTGGGGGTCAGTCTATCTCTCTGTCTCGCTCTCTGTATGTCTCTGTCTTTGATCCTGAGGATTGAACCCAGGCCTTTTGCACTGAGCTGCATCTCTAGTACTTTTTTATTTTTTATTTTGAGGTGGTCTCACTAAGTTGCTTATGCTGGGCTTGAATTTGGTGATCTTCTGGCCTTAGCTTCCCAGAGTGCTGGGCTTATAGGTATGTACCATCGTGCCCGGCTAAACTGTTTGGCTTAAGGACTATATCTCCAAGGATTTCTCTGTTCTTTCTCTAGTTGGACTTTATGTGTTAGCGTCAAAGTCCATGGAGTACTTACAACTGCAGATATTGAGCCCCTACTTTGTGCCAGGCATAGGGGATTTCACTGTGTCTTCATGGAGCACATAATCTACATAAAACTGTTTTTGAATGTTTGAACTTCATATATGGCTTTACCTAAAGGACGTCTTGGTTTTTATTAAAATGTAGCTTTTTGTCAGTGTTTGTTCCTTCTTTGTAAATCTTTCTCTTTGTTTTCCAGCCTAATTTTAAAGATTACCCTGTATATTTACTGAAGTTTAAACAGTGTCTTTCGAAAGCATTGCACCTAATGAAGACATACACAGTGAACACACTACAGACACTCACAAATCAGTTACTTAAAAGGGTGAGTTAACTGATCTCAGCCATTTCATTTTTGGTTCATGTATTGTCCATAATCTTTATCTAAAATTAATACTTTGTAATTACCCCAAAGTTTTACTTTTTTATTAAATAAGAATACATAGTACAGTTTTATTTATAATAGGGGAAAATGTCCTTATTATCAGTGTCCATTACAATCGTATTTTCATATAATATTTAACAGTGTGAGAAGTATCTGGTAATATATGATAAATAATAAAATGAGCCAGACCTGGTGGCACATGTTTGTAATCTCAGCACTGGGAAGGCTGAAGCAGGAGGATCATTGTGAGTTTGAGGACAACATGGGCTACATAGAGAGTTCAAGACTAGCCAAAACTACATAGCAAGACTCAAAAAAAAAGAGATACAAATTATGTGTCACTTAAAACATTTCTATTTTATGAAAATATTGACAAGAACTGTACCAAAATAATAAAATGATTCAGTCTGAGTAATAGATTATTTATTTATTTATTATCATTTATTTTTTGTGGTGTTGGGGATTGAACCCAGGGCCATGCACATGCCAGAGAGAGGTTCTACCTCTGAGTTACACTCTCATCCTAAATTTTCTTCTTTATCTTGTTTCTTGGTAGTTGTTATACTTTCTTATATTTAGCAAACATTTTTATTGCATGTCCCCTAGTGCTTTGTATTGAAGTAGGAAATACATATTAGCAAAAAGGAGGTAGCAAGGTCCCTACCCTCGTGGAACTTATATTTGGGAGAAATGATGAGTACAGAAGGAAACAGTAGTTACAGATTGCAGTAGATGCTACGTGGAGGGTCGTAGGGTGTTAGAGTAGAAAATAAGAGTAGAGCTAGGATGTCCTTGGGTGTATTTCTTTCCTAAGAAAAATAGAGCCAAAATGGCTATTTTGTTTCTTAACCTTACTTTTTAAAAAATACAGAGTGTCTTCTTGAGCTTTCGTTCAAAGCTAGTGATTTTTGGCTTGCATTTTACTGTTCATGTTGCTTCTGGCTGACATAACACACAGAATTCACTATGTAGTAAAATAGTAAAGACGATATACTTTACTATTCTCAGACTTTTCGGTAACTTTAGGCAACTAATACTTAATAAATAGAGGTACCTATTATGCTAGTCCTTTACCACTGAGCTTCACAAAATCCCCATGAATGTATGTCGTGGTAATTTTATGGATCCACTGAATCTCAGAGGGAGTGAGTAGTCTTGGCAGTGTTTTACACCAGAAAGTGTCAGTGTGAATCTGTATTCAGTTCTGTGTCCTGCCACTGTTTTACATAATACAGGGTAAATTTCAACTAATGACGGGTGAGAAATGATAGTTGCTCTTAATTAAGCTTTGGGTTGTATGGAGGCAAACCCATAGTTAGATAAAATGGTTAGTGTTACATTTCCTGAAAAATTTTTTGTTTGCTAATTATCTTCCTTTCCTATCTTCCTCTGTATTCCCTCAGGACCCTTCATCTGTACCAAATGCAGACAATTCCTTTACACTATTTTATGTGAAGTTTCGAGCTGCTGCCCCCAAAGTCAGAGTAAGTATATTGACATAAATAGGATATTGTTATGAAATTTATGCAAGTATCCATTTTGAAGTACTTTGCTTACTCCAGGGAAATGAATATGAATGAAAGAGATATTGTCCTTTCACATTCAGCAGTGTATCTTAGAGATGTGTCCTAGGTGCTTAGTGGACTTAGTGCTTAAGTCCACAGTGGGAAACATGCCACTTTCCTGTGATGCTCAGGGAAAGTTTCTAGATAAAGGTGGGTTTTAAAAGCTCAGATTTTTAGTGTACTTGAGGGGGCTGATATTTTATACAGGGAGAACAGCATTATAGTGAAGGTTGTAGTGACATAAAAAGAAATGCATCTTGGGAAGACTGTAATTTGTATAGGAGCATAAAATATTAGTGGGGTGTGATGGGAAAGGACACAGGAAAGACAGCAAGGACCATCTTACAAGGGACTTCGCATGTTATTAATTCAGGAAAAGTAAAGAAATAATTTGGGGAGTGATTTGGTCACATTGGTCCATCGACCTTTGCTCGCTCATTTACTTCCTTGTTTCTGTCTACAAAGTCAGTCACTTGGGAAGGAGTTTTTGCTTTTTTTTGGTTTTGGAAGTAAAATAAACTTTTTATTTGTAGAAAATAATAGACAAATAATTTTTGATAGATGGTATGAGAGTGTGCCTAATTTATTACTTTTGCTTGTTAGCCAAATGCCAGTGATGATAATTTGATTAGAAAAGATGATATAGATAAGGTGCTTGTTGGGTGGGCAGTTATACAGTGATTATTATAATTATCAGGCACTTTCCTGTGCACTATAAATAACTAGTTAGTCTATGCAGTGGGGTCCTACCTGTATTAACAATAGAAAGCATAAAGTGTGTACCTAGCAGTAACTTACTAGAACTATAAGGATGAAGAAAATGGTAAAACTAGACAGAAATTCATGAAAGATTGTATAAATGGTAAAAATATCTTGTTTGTGGTTGGGAGACTTAATTTTTAAAATATCAGTTCTTCCCAGTGAAATTTATACTGGGAAGTACACTGAGATATACAGTGGGATTTCCTTTTATGTGATCTTGAACTTTAAAAGTAAAACTATAGAAATTTTGGAAAAATACAGTGTTGATTTGATAATTCAGTGACAGATCACTGAGATGGAAAATTCTAGAACTTAACATTTAAAGAAACATCCCAAATCACAAGAGAGGGGCTGAACTTTTCTATACTAGTATTAGGAAAATTTGCTAAGTATTTGAAAAAAATAGTAAGCAAATCATTTCAGTTGATAATATTTCCAAGGTACATTGGAATTGAACTAATAAATACAAAATGATAAGCAGATCCCCTAAAAAGCTAGAAAAAATACTGGAAAAGAAATTAAGGATGTAAACATGAAATTTTTGAATTGTAAATAGCAAAAATATGGCAAAAATTGGGACCTTTGCAACAGATAAGAAAGTATTTTTAATACACTGTAGGTGCTTATACATCAATACAAGATGAGCATTTAATATAAAGCAACCAGGTTACTCACAGAAAATGTGGAAAATGCATGCAAGTTAAGGTTAAGCAGCCCGGCATGGTGGCAAATGTTTTTAATCTCAGCGCTCAGGAGGTTGGGGTGGGAGGGGCATGAGTTTGAGGCCGTTCTGGGCTAGAGTGAGTTCAGACAGAGGTGGCCGAAACGACATAGGGAAATCTATTACAAAAGAAACAAAGGTTAGGCATTATTTTGTCTTTTGGAAATAATGTAAATTATGGCTTATATCAGTTCTTTTGAGGATTTGGTGAGATAGGAAATATTGTTGATATAAATGATTCCTTCCTAAAAGTTTTTTTTTATGATACTAGCTCAGAAGTCTATGTACATCTTTCTTTTGAGCCAGTGTGTTTGTGCTCTGATAATCCTAGCTTAAATAGTAGGAAGTAGGATCTCAGGGAACCAGCTTGCCTGGGCTCAGCTGTGATGGAGCAGACACTGAGACCGCCTAGTTTCTCTCTGGGCTCCAAACCAGTGGGTTATGATTCTTTGGAAACAATTTAAATATCTAATAGTAGAAGAATGAAAATAGGATAATATATAGCAATTTCATATCATTTTTTTTTTATTATCATTATTTTTGCTTTTTTTTTTTGAGATAGGGCATTACTGTGTAGTTTAGGTTGGCCTTGAGCTCACTATATAGCCCAGCTTGGCCTCAGACTCACAGCAATTTTCCTGCCTCAGCCTCCTGAGTGCTGTGATTATAGGTGTGCACCACTGTTATGGCTCATATAATGTTTTAAGTGAATTATAATGAGATTGACTGAAATGTTTATTAGGTACAGTTCTATACATTTTCATGTAATATTGAAAATTATTTAATAGGAAAGTATTTATGAAGTAATGTTAGTGCTTTTTAGACAGGTTCTTGCTATGTAGTTCAGGTTGGTCTTGACCTTATTGTGCAGCCCAGGCTGGACTCAGACTCGTGGCAGTCCTCCTGCCTCAATCTCCTGAGTGCTGGTGTTACAGGTGTGTGCCACTGTGCCTGACTAAACAATGTTAATTTTTAAATGCAGATTGTAAAGCTGGACTGTAGTATAATTTCTGTTTTGTTTAAGAGCAAAGCTATGGTAACTGTGGGTCCAGAAACCTGAAAGTAAATTTATTGAAATATTATATGTGATTACTTTTTAGTATTAAACGTGATTTTTATTTTTTTATATTTTGTTTTGGTTACTTTTCTCTCATTGCTGAGACAGAATACCTGATGCCCAGAGTTAAGGAAGGAAAGGTTTATTTAGCTTACAGTTTGTGGAGGTTTCAGTCCATACTTGGCTGGCTCCAAGGCAGAGCAGCACATGGCAGAGGGCAACAGTTCACGGTGGCAGAAAACAGCAAAAGCAACAAGAGCAAAAGGGTAGGAGCAGCAGAAAGAACAAGCCTCTTCCCTCTCTTATATTGTATGTAAGCTGCCAGCTCCAGGGCGAATGTAGCACTCACACCCATAATCCCAGCATTGGACTGTGGATCAATCAAAAATTCTAGAAGCCCAGCCCATGACTGCATGAGGCTTTGGGGGGACATGTAGACATAAACCATAACATATTTACAGTTTTTTAAGTGAGCATGTGATCCTGTCATAATCAAAAGTACTGAAAAGTCTACACTTAGCTTTTTAACGTACTGTGCTTTTCTTTATTCTGCAGACCCTTATTGAACAAATAGAAGAACGATCTGAAAAGATACCTGAGTGAGTATCCAGTTCTTTCATTTCCACATTTTCTTCTTATAGTGCTCCTTTCCTGAATCTGATTGTTTCTCTGAGATTTTCTGAGAAGTTGTGTCTCAGCTTGCTCTTTTTTTGTTTCTGTGGTAGTGGGGATTGAACCAGGGGGTGCCGCACTGCATCCTCAGCCCTTTCTTTATTTTAGTTTGAGACAGTAGCTCACTAAATTGCCTAGGCTGATTTTGAATTTATGATCTTGCCAGCTCAGACTCGCAAGCATCTGGGATTACAGGCTTGTACCATCAGGCGTCCAAGCTTGTTCTTGTAGCCCATGGTTTATTTTGGTGAGCGAGGTCTCAGATTTGACTTTCAAATTTACATGCCAGAGTTTTTCCCATAGCAGGATTTCCTTTTCATCTGGACAGACAGGAGGTCTCTATTCTTAGAAGAGAAACCCTTCAAGAGGTAGAGCTTATGGCATCACTTTGAGTGTGGGTTTGTTTGTTTGTTTGTTTATTTATTTATTTATTTGTGGTGCTGGGGAACAAACCCAGGACCTTGTGCATGCAAGGCAAATACTCTACCCTGGAGCCACATCCTTAGCTCCTGGGTTTTATTTTATGTCTGTTATTTCTGAGCATTCAATCTGGGCAAATGAGAGGTATCCATTACGATTTTGTAGGTTTGACAACCTATTCTGGGATTTAAGATTAGATTTAATTTACATATCTTAAATCAAGTTCATATCCCAATCTATTTTTATTTGCCTTTCTAATAGATATCAGCAGCTGCTCAATGACATCCACCAATGTTACCTTTTCCAACGGGAGCTCCTTTTGGGCCCTAGTATTGCCTGTACTGTCACAGAGTTAACCAGCCAAAATAATAGAGACCATTGTGCCTTGGTAAGTTTGTATCTATCTTGGTTTAGTGTTAAGCCTTCTTTGGAGCTATTCTGATGCTATACCTGATTTATCTTTCTCTGAAGTTCTGTTTTTCCAAATCTGGTTAGGTCCTTGATGTCCTGTTACTGTATACAACTTACTTCAGGGAGCAGGGTCTTAGACATAATTTAGCAAGCTTGTGTGGTTCAGTTCCTCTATCAGTGAACTAATATTTCTTTCAGTTGTGACGAATCTGTTAGTCTTATTCAACTTTGCAAAATAATTCTCACTTTATTTTTGAAATGTAAAGATCCACAAATATTTCTTAAAAGGTGAAGTTTCAGAGTTAGTGGATTTGTGTTGATAATTTAATTTTAGCTTAGTTTTTGCTGCAGAAGTACTCATTTGTTTAGTGTGATTTTAGTTTATACTGTAGGAAAAATGCAAAAGTTCTTGTTTTAATGTACTCTTCATCAACTAGAAAAGTAATTTGTTGTGATCATTATTAGTCTCCCTAGTGTGAGAAGCTGAAAGAGTAAATAAGATCCAAAATGTACAGTAGATATTGTGAAATGGGTAGAAACTGTTCAAAAGTAAAGAGAAACTGGGATGGGGAAAATGAGAAGAGAAGGAAAGGAAAAGAAAAAAATACATATATATATACACGATAGTTAAGATAATTATACTACTAATTTCTCTTAGTTCATTGAAAAGAAAGGTTTGTACTTACATTATTTGATGAATTTTTCATGCCTGTGTCTTATAGTCTGAGCAACTACTTTGAAGATAACATTATACAATGTATTAACCATTATTGCTCTATTATGTTTTGAAATTTTGTATCATTGTTTTTGTTTTTCTCTTTAAAATAAAAACGTTTCAAAAATAAAACATTATGAATAAAATAAAAGTTACCTGTAATTCCAGTAAGCACTACGTCATGGAAAAAGAAACATTTTCTATTCTTTGATAAATTGTTTTATAAATATATACAGATAATTTCTTTACAAATAAAAGTGTAGGCTTTATTTTATGAGCACTGTAAATGTTTAACTATAGGTATGTGTTTGTTTACCACAGATTCGCAGTGGCTGTGCCTTCATGGTCCATGTGTGCCAGGATGAGCACCAACTTTACAATGAATTTTTCACAAAGCTGACACCAAAATTAGAGTAGGTGGTGCATGGAACCTAACTTTTGTTGATAAGGTGTAATTTGCTAAAGACCATAATGATGCAGTATGTTATAGGAGTATTCTACAACCAACTGCTATGTTTTAACTTTTCTGCATATGTGAATAGAACGTTGTCCAGTAGGAGAGTGGCTATTAAAGTAAATATGCAGTTTAAAGGCCAACATACTTCCATGTTGTTTGTACTATAACAGAGATATTTTGATAGTATATAGTAATTTTGTATATAAATATATATGTATAAAAGTATTTGGTATTTCTTTTTTTTTTTTTTTTTTTTTTTTTTGGGTATTTTTGAAACAAGGTCTTGTTACACAGTTCAGGCTGGCCTTGAACTCACTTTGTAGCCCAGGCTGGCCTCGAACTCGCAATGATCCTCCTGCTTCAGCCTCCTGAGTGCTGGGATTACAGGCGTGCGCCACCATGCCCGGCTAGTATTTCTATATAAGGAACTGTGTTTTGAGATCTATAGCTTCTGTCTCCACTAAGTACAGTATTTCCTTTTAGTTCTGAAATTTTATGATTCCACTAAGGAAAGATAGTTAAAAATATGGACCATTTTTTTTCTTGAAAATATCCTCACATGCACTGTTAGTCACCTTTGGTTTCTTCATGTTGGTTATTTTGACTCCTAAAAGATTCTTGTGGATGAGAACAAGCTAAATTTATATTATGGTTTTGGTTGGGATGATCACTTTTGATGACTACTATATATAGAAGAGTACTGTTGGCAGTATGAAGAATATAGACAACCTAATTTTCTTCCTTTTAAATGTTCGGAATTTCTCACAATTCCTGGTAAATGTCCAAAGTACTTTTAGTTTTATTTTGAACCTGTCTTTCCTGAGAGAAAACATTCCAGTTGATTCACAGTGAAGTAGAATATAAAAAGTAGTGAAAAGATAATTTGGTTTTTGAAAGGACATGTACAGAATTATTGCTGAAATATAAAAAGTTGTGGTAGGTCGACTTTTGATTGGTGGCACCTAATTTAAATTGATTGCTGCAGGTTACTTACAGATTCTGAGCTTTTAAAGCATGAACAGTTTACAGAATTACTTTTCACCTTCCACTTCTCATTTTATAATAGTCACAGATTCTTTTTCCCAGTACTTATTATTTTTATTGGCTGGAAGAAATCAGTAAAGCTTTTAAAGTATTAGAGAATTCTGACAACATCTGTGCTATACCCATATTTTATTCAATTTTAGTGAACTTTTGGAGAAACTGTGTATGTCATTGTACGATGTCTTCAGGCCGTTGATCATTCATGTCATTCACCTAGAGACTCTGTCTGAACTTTGTGGGATTCTTAAAAATGAAGTGCTTGAAGATCATGTACAGAACAATGGTAAGTAAATAGAAGTGATTATTTAAAAGGTCTTTTAAGTTTATCTGTGACTCAGTGAATTTGAAAAAAATTAGATACTTCTACACTCCTGCACTAAAATATTTAATATTTTTTAATTTAAACAACATTTTAAGTAAAAATTTAATACTTTGAAGCTTGTGCTAATGTCTTTCTCCTTTTGGAATCAAGGGGCAACTTAATTTTTTTTTTTTTTTTTTTTTTTGTTTTTTTGGTTTTTCTCCGGTACCGGGAACCGAACTCACGACTTTGCGCTTGCCAGGCAGGCGCTTTTGCCGCTGAGCTAAATCCCCA